AATTCCAAAGAACCAAAATTTCCAAGCCTAAATTCTATAAATAGAGGCCTCATTTCATTCATTCTTCAAGCTTTTGATAGCCAAATTCACCTTGCTAATTTTTCTCTCAATTCCCTTGAACCACCAAATTCACCAAAGCTCTTTCTTCCTGTCATACCCCCAATTTTACCCTTAGATTATTTGATCTTTTGCATACCATCAATGTCAATCATTCTTGGATAACTAACCAAATTATTATAATTTGTTTGTTTTGTTCATTTATGGACTAGGGTTTGCTTCAAGAGGCTTCAAGGGTTGATCAGTCAAGGTTTTGGAAGGATCATCAGCCAAGCAATTCTCATACTCTCAAGAGACCTCCCTTCCTTAATAATCCAGTGCAATTTAGTTTCATCACAAGTTCTTTGAATCTCAGGTCTTGCAAGACTAAATCAAGGATTAGGCAAGGTTATCAGATCAAGGGTGTGTGTGGTGTAGTTTGAAATTCAGTAGAAGTTTGACCTAATCTTGGTCAAACAAGTGGTTTGTTTTAGTATCAGGTTATCGGGTTGTAGTAAAGGCAGTTGTTTCAAGGTGCATAATCATCAAGGCTGGTTCACTTTCAATTGGGGTGTAGTGGCAACACAATTCATTTTTCAGGTCATATGTGTTATGAAATCTTGTGAGGACAAAGAAGTGTCAAATTCAAGTGGTCTATGTCTAATATCGTCAAGCGATCAGGATTTGGGTTTTTGTGCGAGATCACAAATTATCTGATGGAATCCAGTTGTGAATATTTGGCCTCATATTTTGAGTTGTTGCAAGCTTTCTAGATAGAATCAGAATGTTATGCTAATTGGTTCAAAGTTTCAATGCATTTCTAGTTTTAGATCAAGTTATGCTTGATTTTATTTCCCAAGGAATTGATGCAAGATTATTTCATGTGGAAAGCGTAAGAATTCTTAGAGTTTAATGAAGAGTGTCAATTCAAGCGCAATTCCAATTTCAATCGCCTTCAATATCCTTAATCCAATTTTCAAATCCATTCTAAGTTTCAAAATCAAACTTCAAGTTCCAATTTCATATTCCATCCAATTCATTTCCATTTCAATTTTCAATTCTATCCCAATCAGGTTTCAAGTTCTTTCTAAAAATTTAGATTCATTTGAGTTTAATGCCTTTCAATTTCCAATTTCCTTTCAAATTCTTTCAATTCATATTCAAATTCAAACCAATTTCAAGATTTCAATTCAAGATTCAATTCAATTTTAAGATTTCAATCCAATTTCAAGATTCAATTTAATTTCAAGATACAAGTTACATTCCAACTTACAAATTAACATTCGAACTTTTGGAATTGGAATCTCACAAATATCACCACTATTTATCCATTCCTAGTCTGATCCAAATTTCTGCTTTTTTCCAACCTCAAAAGCTTTCATTTTTTAAAACCCTTTTCAAAATCTTCGAGTTCAAAGGAACTTGTTCAAGTTGAGATCTTTATGTGTATAATGCAGTGTTTGCTCCTATTGTGGTTTATTGGATATATGGTGGATTTTATCACTTGCTTTCGCCTTAAGATAACTATGAGTTGCATACTATGAGAGACGAGGGAGAGAAGAATTTGGTGCCTTTTAAAGTTGTTGTGAAAGGTGTTTTGTTCCATCAGTTTGTTCAGGCAATTGTTGCACTCATCTTGTTGACGACAACATTGAATGTGTCTGGGATTATGGTGCAACCTTCTATTACTAAGAAAATAATTCAGATTGTTATTGTAATGTTTATGATGGATACATGGCAGTACTTTGTGCACTGGTACATGCATCAGAACAAATTTTTGTACTGCCATATTCAACACGCAGCAATTACAAGCCAGCACAATTCTTCGCGCTCACCTCACAGCCGACAAAACCATTACACACCTTGCCTTACCTTCATAAAATCAAACTTGCTTTCATTAAGAAAAAAAATTCGTTTTAACAATGACGCTGAATTGAAGAAACAACGGCCTCTATAAGACAAGGTTACCTCTCATCTTGGTATTCAACAAGGTCGGTGTAGCAAAGCATGAGTTTGCCTTGGAGTGGATGAAAGATTTTGAGGTATTCCAAATAGCCTGCTTCAAAACTGTTGCGACCATGAGGAACACACAAGCAGGTCACATTAAAGTCGGCCCCACCACCCCAATCTGCAGCTACTACAAGTGCCAAAAAACAATACAACTTGTTACCGCTACCTGCAATGTACATTTTTTCACGTTTTTTTAAGGTGAGGCTGATGATGTTATACATTTTTTCCTTTCATGGACCGAGATTTATGCTATCACTATTACTTTTTTTATTTTATTTTCTCAAAATCATGGATCCGTATGGTGTGGATTAGAGGGTTTAAGACCCGTGTTTGTTTCTTGTTACCAGCCTTATATTTTTTCCTTTGTGCCTTAGTTTAGGGAGGGATGATGGGCTCCCTTAAGCCCACGTGATTCCCTCCTTTCCATACAAACACCCTTTGCAATTTCGCATGCCCCCTTGATTCTTGTTTTTTATTTATTGTATTTTGTTTCTTAAATTTCTTTCCAATTTCTCTTCTTTGATTATTTTTTTTTTTCATTTCTAATTTTCTCGCATTTTTTTTCTTAATGGTTAGAAGTTTAAGTTTAATTTTCTTTTGATTGAATTTTCACTAATGTTTTTTTCATTATATTTTGTTTCGATTTTCATTTTCAATTTTGGTCGATGAAGTCTTTAGAATCGCGAATGTTGATTGTTGAAGTTGTTTAACCTTCATTGTTTCAAATCTGTAGTGAATGATCATCTAGATCATTTTCTATACTTTGGGATCGTGATAAATTACCTTCAATTAATCGATACAAATTTGTGATTAAGACGAAGTTATTCTCTTTTTCTTTTCTTGTGGCACGATTTTTTGAGGATGGTCTACATATCATTTCTCCATCGTATTTTAACACAAACATCGTTGATTGAGTGGCCTTCCATGACATGATCTTTCTCATAGATCATGTTGTAGCACCCCAAAATTTTCCCACCCTTTTTATTGATATCTTGGTTTATGTTTCATTTCATTTTACATTGTCATAGCATTGGTTATAGGAAGGGGATCAAGGTCTTGTTCATTTCTCAAGATGAAGAGTTTCATCTTCAAATCTCAGGAAAGGATTCATTCTTAACCTTGTGGTATTCTCAAGTCACAAGGTTCTCTCATCATCAAGAAAGGTCTCACAACCATTTGAATCAAGGATTCAAGCATTGATCACTTCCTCATATTTTGTGTACAACTGGATTAGGGTTTGGTTCAAAAGACTTATGTGGCTAGTTCTTTAGGCAAGACATGATCATAAGGCTCAATATACATCTTGAGGGTCCTCTATATGAATTATGTATCATCACAAGTCATGACAAGAGCTTCAATTAGTGGAAAAGATACTAGAGTTTCATTTGGTCAACAAAAGTCAAATATGGTTCAATGGGGTCAAAGTCTTGGATCTCAAGGTCAACCAAGGGTATGCTATGTGTTTTAAAGTGTTTTCATGAGTTTGGAACAAGAAAAGTAAAGGAGAAATATAAAATCAAGAGTTTAATTAGATTAGGGTTTGATTGAGATATTTTTTTGTAAGTGTAGAAAATCATAATTCTAGCCATTTTGCAACATCCATAACTTTCTCATCCTTGACCCAATGGAAGAAAACTTGTTATCAAATTAAAGAGGACATCATGAACTACAAGTTTGTAGAAAAACTCAAGTCCAAAAGATCCATAGTTTGAGAGATATAGGGAGCAAAAGTTGAGAAAATGGAGATTTTGACATTCCAACACTTAGATTTTTTTTGAAGTATGGAAATTCAGCTTGAAGTACATGTTTTCAAGCCTATCTTACATGATGATGCAAGCTTCAAAGGAATTTTCCTTGAACATAAAAGTTGTAGAGAATCCTTCAAGCTTTCGTTTGAGTACTAGAACTCTTCCATTGGATGTGTAGAGATCAAGTTATGATCTATCCAAATTAGGGTTTCAAAGTTGTCAAGATTGGACAAGTCTTAGGCAGATTTTTGGGGCTACTTTCCAAGACACTTTTCACCAAGTTCTTGACCTCAAATCAATTTCCCTTGAACATGAAATTTGAAAATCATTATTCAATATTTCTATCCATTACTAGAACATATCCATTGAATCAAAACTCATCAAGATATATAGCTTCAAAGATAGGGTATCAAAGATGTCAAAATTTCAATAACTTAGAATTTTTTCTAAGTTACTTTAGACAGTTTTGACGACATAACTGCCACTCAGTTTTCCTCATTGATCCAAGGCTTGTCTCAAGTTGCTAATAACATGAAAGTTGTTTTACTATCTCCAACCTTTCCAACCATACAAGTTTCATCATCATTGGATTATTATGCATCAAGTCATGTTAGTTCAAAGTAGGCAATATGGAAGTTGATTCAAGATGCATAATTGATGAGTAACCTTGGCATTTTTTTAACATGTCTTGCAGAAACATTTAAATTATGATTTCACACGCATTATGTCACCTTTTGAGTCACTAAACATTGCCTCAAATAGCCAAGCAAGTCATGTACCATATGTGTGCATTTTGAAATAACTTGCCAAATGAAGCAAGAGGACAAAGCTTGAAATAATTGTCCCACAAGGTTGTGCCTCAACCTCCACCTCCTTTTCTGACCTTTCTTGCATAAAGGATAGCCACTATAACAACCTTAAACCATGTTACCCGTGCCTACCTCACCTTCACTACAAAAATGTTCAAACTTTCATCAAAAGTTACTCTTCATTTTTCACCTTAATAACTTACATTTTCACCACATGAACACCCTATTTAAGCTAAATGTAGAACCCTAGGGCAGGGAGATTCATTTTTCTGCACCCAAGCATTCAAGACACACTCTCTGTCTCTCTCACTCACTCCCAAGCCTATCTCTCTCTTTGAACCTACTCTTTCTCCAAGTTTTCTACTCTCTTCTTGCATTTTAGAGCTTCATTGAGACACTAGAAAGCTATTGAAGGCATTTCTTCAAAAAAAATGCATAAGGTTAAAGAAGCAGTGGACTTCCTCCACTTGGTAAGCTTATTGAAGTTAGAAGCTACTTGAATCTTACCTGGCAGCAGCTGAAATATATCGTAGATCTGATCTTTGAAACCTCGAGAGAGCATTTCATCAGCCTCATCCAACACAAACATCTTGATGTAATCCGGGTGAAGAGACTGTCTGCGCAACATATCAAACACACGACCAGGAGTACCAACCACAACATGGACACCACTTGATAGAATGCGTTGATCTTCACGAACACTTGTACCTCCCACACAAGCATGCACCTTAACACCTAGATAGTCTCCAAGGGCCCGCATAACCTTCTCAATCTGCTGAGCAAGCTCACGAGTTGGGGCTAAAACCAATGCCTGGCACTGGGTCACATTATAGTCAAGTTGCTGCAAAACACCAGAGCAGAAAGTTGCCGTCTTTCCAGTTCCAGACTGAGCCTGTTGAATAACATCATGTCCCTTGCAGAAGGGAACAATTCCCCTTTGCTGAATGGCAGATGGCTTTTCAAAACCATAGGCATAAATTCCTCTGAGGAGATTCTCTTGCAAGCCCATAGCATCAAAACTTTCACAAACCTCATCAGAAATAGTGTAGAACTCATTTCCATCACCAGCCATTAAGTCATTCATTCTGGCATCAAATTTCCCAGCATCAAATTGTGACCCCTCAGGTGCAAGTCCTGCCATAGCTTGAAGATTCGGAGGTGAAGAAGAAAATGCGGCGGCGTTAGTTGAACGGAGTTAGGGTTTCCCAAAAACTCCCCGGATCTACGCCGCGGAGTTGAGGGAGAGCAGTGAGTGAGTGTGTAAAGAGATATGGATCTGAACAGTGTCTCACGGTGAAGAATAAGTACGTATATGGCGAAGGGGAGAGAAACGGGTTAGAAGTGATTTTCCCTGAAAGTTTTCAATGAGAAAAGTGGGTCCAATTTTATGTGGTAGATCAGTGATGTTTAAGGATGATCACGTGGTGAAGGGTGTTTTGGTGTAGAAAAACGGCTTGTTGAAAGGATTACTGGGGTGGTTAAATGGTTTTGAGGTTGGTTGAAGGTTGTCCATGGTTGGATAATGGATCGGAGGTGAGTAATTGGCTGTGGTGATTTGCGGCGGAGGGTGGGAGAAGAGGAAGAACTTGATGTTAGGGTTTGACGGCCAGGGGTTTTTTTTTGTCCTGATGAATAGTAACATTCTTTTATAGCCAAAATTCGAAACCCTAGTTGCCAATTGCTACCGTATTCTCTCAATTCCAACTTTCTTTTTTTTTTTTTAATTAATTTTAATTTTCTAAATTAACTAATTAATAACTACAACTAATTATCTAAAATTCTAATTCCAATTAATCTCGTCTGAATAAAATTTTAAATTCTAAATCTATTAATTAATAACTCTACTTCTAAATTTTAATTATTATTCTAGCTTAAATTCTAACTAATTAATTCTAATTCTATCCTATTCTAAACTAATTAATTAATTAATTAATATTAAAATAAAATGTTAACACATAAATAAAAATAAATAAAAAGATGCCACGTGGCGCAAATTTATTGGGCTAAAAAGTGAAAAATACTTTAAGTTGCACAAGCAATGCAAAATAAAGAATAAAGTCGGACGAATGAAAATTTTGAAAAAGATAGGACAAATTTAGGGTATGACAGATGCCCCTATCTAATTGACTTGAACCTGAGGGAATGAACAACTGTATGGCGTTCATTTTAGGGTAGAAGTCAATTAGATACAAGAAGACCCTGAATTTGTCCAAAAGGAAAGAAATGCTCGGGAATTGAACACGCTGGATGAGGTATAATTCTAAGCAAACTGTGGAAAAATAGCAACAGGTCGCCATCACCAAAAGGATGATGGGATAGAACACCCACGGCCACTACCACCAAAAGGATGATAGAGCAAAACACAATCAACCCTAACACCAAAAGGATGTAAGGAGTCCATTACCAAAAGGATAATGGACAATACGCTAATCATGACACCGAAAGGATGCCAGACCCATCATCAAAAGGATGATGGAGCGGAGACGGTAGTCATAACACCAAAAGGATGCTAGACCCATCACCAAGAGGATGATGGAGCGAAACAAAATCGACCCTAACACCAAAAAGGATGATAGGGGGATAAGCTTCTCAGAAGAGATTGCCACTTATCGCTGAAGATAGATAAGCTTCTCTGAAGAGATTGCCACTTATCGCTGAAGATAGATAAGCTTCTCTGAAGAGATTGCCACTTATCGCTGAAGATAGATAAGCTTCTCTGAAGAGATTGCCACTTATCACTGAAGGTGGATAAGCTTCTCTGAAGAGATTGCCACTTATCGCTGAAGATAGATAAGCTTCTCTGAAGAGATTGCCACTTATCGCTGAAGATAGATAAGCTTCTCTGAAGAGATTGCCACTTATCACTGAAGGTGGATAAGCTTCTCTGAAGAGATTGCCACTTATCGCTGAAGATAGATAAGCTTCTCTGAAGAGATTGCCACTTATCACTGAAGGTGGATAAGCTTCTCTGAAGAGATTGCCACTTATCGCTGAAGATAGATAAGCTTCTCTGAAGAGATTGCCACTTATCGCTGAAGATAGATAAGCTTCTCTGAAGAGATTGCCACTTATCGCTGAATATGGATAAGCTTCTCTGAAGAGATTGCCACTTATCGCTGAAGATAGATAAGCTTCTCTGAAGAGATTGCCACTTATCGCTGAAGATAGATAAGCTTCTCTGAAGAGATTGCCACTTATCGCTGAAGATAGATAAGCTTCTCTGAAGAGATTGCCACTTATCACTGAAGGTGGATAAGCTTCTCTGAAGAGATTGCCACTTATCGCTGAAGATAGATAAGCTTCTCTGAAGAGATTTCCACTTATCGCTGAAGATAGATAAGCTTCTCTGAAGAGATTGCCACTTATCACTGAAGATAGATAAGCTTCTCTGAAGAGATTGCCACTTATCGCTGAAGATAGATAAGCTTCTCTGAAGAGATTGCCACTTATCACTGAAGATGGATAAGCTTCTCTGAAGAGATTGCCACTTATCGCTGAAGATGGATAAGCTTCTCTGAAGAGATTGCCACTTATCGCTAAATATGGATAAGCTTCTCTGAAGAGATTTCCACTTATCGCTGAATATGGATAAGCTTCTCTGAAGAGATTGCCACTTATCGCTGAAGATGGATAAGCTTCTCTGAAGAGATTGCCACTTATCACTGAAGATGGATAAGCTTCTCTGAAAAGATTGCCACTTATCACTTGAAGATGGATAAGCTTCTCTGAAGAGATTGCCACTTATCGCTGAAGATGGATAAGCTTCTCTGAAGAGATTGCCACTTATCGCTGAAGATGGATAAGCTTCTCTGAAGAGATTGCCACTTATCGCTGAATATGGATAAGCTTCTCTGAAGAGATTGCCACTTATCGCTGAAGATAGATAAGCTTCTCTGAAGAGATTGCCACTTATCACTGAAGGTGGATAAGCTTCTCTGAAGAGATTGCCACTTATCGCTGAAGATAGATAAGCTTCTCTGAAGAGATTGCCACTTATCGCTGAAGATAGATAAGCTTCTCTGAAGAGATTGCCACTTATCACTGAAGATGGATAAGCTTCTCTGAAGAGATTGCCACTTATCACTTGAAGATGGATAAGCTTCTCTGAAGAAATTGCCACTTATCACTGAAGATGGATAAGCTTCTCTGAAGAGATTGCCACTTATCGCTGATGAAGGATAAGCTAAGTCTGCTGGAGACAAAATCACCGAGGATCGCCCATAATTTCACTGAAGATGCCCCTGTCTGGGCTGAATGTTGATCTGAAGATCTCGATTAACCACGAGGTTGAAATACATCATGTGATACACCCATGGTCTTGAAAAGGTGTCCCTGACTGGGCTAAATTTTGCTTTGATATTCTTGAATTTTGTGAGAGGACCCACGGTCTTTGCAGATAATGCCCCTGACTGGGCTACTGATTGCGTTGAAGCTCTTGAACTCTGCCCAACAAAAGTTGCACAACTTCGTGGGGAACACCCACAGTCTCGAATGACATGCCCCTGACTGGGCTGATGGTTGCTTTGAAGCTCCTAAATTTGTCCAGCAAAAAAGTTGTACAACCTCGTGGGGAACGCCCACGGTCCTGCGGAGAATGCCCCTAACTGGGCTGATTATGATCTTGAAACTCTTCAAAATTGATCCTGGATCTGAACTCGCATATGTGAATGCTTGATGATAATGATATTCCATAAATGGAAATGCCAATGCAAATATTGATGTGCGGAGATGCAAGAGCTGAGGATGTATGATATGATTCTGGGTATGCATATAATGCAAGATGATTATGAAGTCGAATGCGATGCGTATGATGCATATGATAATGATGGATGCAGGCAGGTGACTGGGAATGCAGGTGATGACGTGGCAGACTTTTGGTGGTTGCCAATGTAAATTGGACTTTGGGTTGGAAGTACCAGATGAGGGTTGGTATTCGGAGGGTAGACCAGATGGGACTGGTTGGCGAAAGGCTAAGTTTTCAAAGGAGAGCTGATTTTGTGGTTTGCCAGATGGAAGCTGGACTTTGGAATAAGGTTTACCAGATAAGAACTGGTGAAATGGCTAAAAGAAGGGTGACCAGATGAGAACTGGTTTAAAAGCTGACATATACCAGGCGGGAATTGGTATTCAGCGAAGGGTTGACCAGATAGGACTGGTTTGAAGGTTTAAAGGTTTGACCAGTTGGGACCGGTACAAAGGTTTGCCAGGCAAGAACTGGACTTTGGAGGTTCAAAGGTTACAAGGTTTTGACAGGTTTAGGCTGTGGGATGAAGGATCCAATGACAGCAAGGCCTTTTCGGAAGGTTAAGGTTATTTGGGTGAGGTGATGGTATGATTCCCCAACACTCGTTTTGAACTCAACAATTGTTGATGAAGATGAACTTGCTTGAGTAACTTGCCAATGAGACGATCTCGAGATGACTTGCCCCAGAGTTTGTACCATGAAAGGATTTATCATTGTTGAACCGACTCTTGGTGGTTGGCTTCAGTATACTCTTTGGAGTAGCTTGTTCTTGAAAGAGCGGTGAAGCGACTTGACTTATCCTGATTGAGCGTTGGAGGGATCTATCTTCAAGTCAGAGAAACTTTGGGTGGCCTGCCCCTAATTGGTATGATTCATTTTTGATCAAACGCTTCTTGAATGATTTGCCCCATGATCGACCATTGTTTGGGGATTTGCCTCAGACTGATCCAGACTGCTGAATGATCCAGTCCTGCTTGATTGCTTCGTGTTGGAATTTCCTTGACGCCAACTATTAACTTGCAATTAAAATTTTTGTTCACGAATGGTAATTTTAATGCAAAGTTCATGCAAGTTTTGAAAAAACATGTCGTTTATTGAGTGTCGTGATAGTGAGGCGAATGGATTGTTAGTCCAAACGCTGTGCTCATTTGATTGCTGTGAAAGATATAGCAAGGATATTGACACCAATACTGATGATTAGCAAATATGTAAGGAGTCAGGTTACGCAACCTCGCAATAGTATGCTTTCAGAATAAATCTCGCCTCAATTAGGTCTTTCGAGGGTTGTAACATGGCCTGGTTCGCGGTTATAGAAACAAAGGATATTAAGCTCAAAGTTAATTTGCACCCACCCCTTCTTCTTGATGACTTCCAGTCCTACGTTCAGTTAATTCTAC